ACAGTATGGAAATCAGAGTTCTATTCCTCTTTCAATGCACTGGCTGTAAAGCATAGACTGTGTCACCAATATCAATTGCTTTGTAAACAGAATAAGAGAAATTATCTTAATGTTCATGAATTCCCAGAGACTCATGAAAAATTCTTATTATGGAGGAGTTCAGGAAAATTATAGTGAAGCAGTATTCATATGAACATAATTATCATGCATTTAAATAATCTCTGCACAAAAATAAAAAGTACATGCATATATATGAAATTGTTTGCATTACCTCATTTCCCCCTACATTAAGAAAAAAGTAATCATCACTTCTCTCCCCTTATTACATAAATCAGAAACTCCCTTCCTGGCAATTCTCATGCTCTGATGCTGCACACTTTACTGGACTATTTCTCTGTAGGTACATGATGTTATGAACAAAACAGCCTGGCTGGGACACTTGGCTTGAACTAAGTACTGACATTGAAATGTTAATTAGCTAATTGCTCCTGGAATCACCTACCGCCCCACCCTCACTACCATTCTAGGACTGGGATGCAAAATAGGGAGACCAGTGGAATCATGGGAGGGGGTTTTGGGGATGAAAACACCCTAAATGGAAGGCTGGGCACAGTGGAGGGGGCTGGATGGGTGTGCTGGTTGGAGAAAGGGGAACCACATCTCTAGTCTGGGTTTGACCTGTCACCATAACCTGCAGAGGACCAGACTGGACAGGGCTGTGGGAAGCAGGCACAAAGGAACAGATACTCTTCCTGGTGTTAGCAGGAGGGAAGGAGAGGGGTAGCTGCTGCTTGACTTTGGCAGCAGGCACTGCACATCCCCTCACCCTTTGGCTACCAGTGTGCCAGGAGGACAGGAGAGAGGACAGGAGAGAGGATGGTCTGCTGGGACTTCAGATACAGACTGGACACCTTTTCACCTCCGGCTACCAGTGTGCCACGGAGTCTCCAGGGACAGACTCTGCACCCCTTCTCACCCTTCGGCTACCGGGAAAGCTGCAACAGCGGGGGTGAGCTCCGTGTCGAGTGCCCTGCCCAGCTGATCTTTTTAATAAAGAGCTGAACATTAATAAAGGCATAGACCCTGCTCATTACACATGATGCTGGTGCTCTGGTGCTCTCAGAATAAGAGCTGTGAAATCACCACACCTCCAGTCTTTTACTTCCTCACTGGAAAGTAGATTTGGGGCTTTCCCTACTTTTTCAGAACTTAAAGAACTGCCTTTATGAAAGAATGAGTATAAATGTTTTCCATCCTACATCAGATCAGAACAATAGTCTATCTTTTATATGCATGTGTACATCCATAGGCAGATGAACAAATTAGACATCACAATCTGATCTGTAATGTACATTTTCCACACAAAAAGACAAGGGAGCAGGGCTCTAGGAGATTGTACTTAATATGTGATGGAATACTTTCACCTTATTCAAGTAACTTTCTAAACTCTCTGCTTGTGAGTCTACATTCTCTCTCACGTGTTCATATGAAGACAGAGATGAGGCACACATGAGTACATGGCCTGCAGGTAAATCCTGGGCTAAACCAAAAAGAATAGCAGCTGAGAAACATTTGAAGTACTAAAATCACCTGAGGCACACAGACTCAAAGTCAAGCCTACCTAAACCCCCTGGGAAGTACATCTACAAATATGTAAGGAATTGCAGCATGTGTGAATAGTATGCCTTGAGCAAACTCAAAATACAGCTTGATTCTAAGCAGAAAATCAAGATGAGGAAAAGCAATGAAAAATAATTAACCTAATATGAATTATTTTACAATAAGGAAATGTAATCAGTAACTCAGGCACAAAAGATCCATGTCTAGTGTCCAGAAACACTTTTGGTCTTACTATGTCTTAAGTCACAGTGGTTTGCTCTAAACCAAAAAACAGATAACCAGACTCTGTAAACATATAGGCATTCTTGAACCCCCAAAGCACCAGAGTTTTCATAAAGAATCTACCCAAAGGAAAGATCAAAAACAGATTCAAATATCAATAGGATTTAAAGTGGCTTAACTGAAAAAAATTATTCTTATTCAGAACATTAGCAAAGAAATTAAAATAGACCTAGCTCTTTATTTATTATTCTGTTTTTTCAAACACTTGAAAAAGTGGTTACAAAATGGTTCAATCATCTTCATTTCATATGTAAAAACAGGTAGTGAAATTAAGAACAATGTCTCCTCTGAGCATGCTTTAATAAAGGATATTCCAAATGGAAAATGAACAGAGCCCTGTGTAAATTAATCACAAATATGCCCACTCCTTTCCTTCTCTGGAAAGGGGCACAAGATTCCTTGCTTAAAAGACAATCTTGCTACCATCCTTTTACAGCTACAATATAATCACTGCCTAATAATTTCTAATAATTGACTCAAGTTCCTATGTCCAGGAGATAAGTGGTGAAAGTTTCTTTAAAATAAATTAAGACAACATAAAAGACTGTGCAAGATGCCTGTTACAATGATCCATGAAGCATTTGCTAGACTGTATGTATCATCCACAAGATAACAGGCAAAACCAACTCCAACTATCTTTTTTGAGGGTGCTACTTGCCAGGGAGAAAAGCAGGCTTTTAGGTCCAAGTTCTTGGCTTTTTTTCCTTTAGAAATAATATCAATATAACATGTCCTCATTCAGGATGAATATGGGCAAAGATATTCAGGATATAGAAGTAATTTTCATAACAGGCATTGACAAATCTTGTTTTTTGGAAAAAATACCCAAACTTATTGCTAGCATTTACATACTTACTGTATTCTGCAACAGCCTAAAAATTTACACAGTCACTATCCTTGTCAGGAAATTAGGTCCATAAGGCAGTGATTATCCAATTGTCTGGAATACGTCTCTTCACACTATTCATAACTCCACAGTTAAGATTTTTCCAAATTCTCAAAATGTAGGTTTGTAAAAGCCAAGGAGACATGGCATCTGAATTTGCACCCAGCTGCAGTTACAAACCAAATGATCATGTACCTCTATAAGGATGGCATATGAAACCTCAAACAGCCCATGAGAACATAATCAGTAAAACACTTTTCTAAACCTCAGTTTCCCTCGAGCTTCTGTGCTTAAGGCATATCTTGCATTTTTAAAATACCATTTAGCTAAAAAAGCACCAGAGCTAATAAAGCCACTTTTCAGAATTAATTTGGCTGATCAATTGAGATCATTCCATCCACCATGGAAAATGCATACATAATTACAAAATAACTGAGCAAATGAAGATGAAAATAATAGTTTAAATAGTACAAGTAATAGTTTAAACTACAGTTTTTATATAAATTAAGCTGCTTGCATAGGTAATATAATTCCAAGACATAAGACACAGAAGTCAAAGCAGCACTGCCAGAAGCATTATTTCAGCTGGATCCTTTTACTCCTAGATGAGATAACAACACAACCAAAGTCATTTAAATGCCATTATTCGGGAAGTTGTGCAGTAAGATTATTACTGACTTTTTAATTTTCTGCAATTTCTGCAAAAACTTTAAAAATATATACTTCTATGTCTTTTCAGTGGAGGTCAGAAAATAATAAATGTTTTCACACCAAGTTTTTTATAAAGACTCCTAATAAGACAGAGCAACACCCACCTTTTATTGCTTATTGAATAAAATAACTACCAGGTATAAATGGGCTGGTAGTAAAATCTCCTGTCAAAATGGAAATAACCTAACTTTTATGCAAAGACTTTTCCTGGGGCTATGCATATGCATTTGTTAAGCACTAACTCAGCAGAGAGGAAAATATGCCAGCTGCCAAGACACAAATACCATTTCACACAGCACCTGCTGCAGAGTGTTCTCTAGAGCTCTGCTGAGTAAGTGACCTGATGCAATACTGCAGAATTGAGGAAATACCACAGAATGACAGAGTAAAGAGCTTTTCCTTTTTTCTGAGTATGTATTCAAAAATTACCACTATCAACAAAATTCTGAGTTATCTTACTAGCTTTTTTTACAAAGACACATGTATTTATGAACTCATGGGCACTACTTTTGAGTGACAGGCAACTAGTGAAAAGGAATTACCAAATCATTAGTGTAATTTCATTAAAAAAAAAAAAGAAACACACAGGTCATTGTATATCTTAAACAGCAGCTTTAAGAAACAAGAGATGTTTTGCCTTTCATGAAGCTTAAAACCGTTGGATCTACTATTGAAAATACAGCAATACTATAAATTTCAAAACACAAATCTGCAGTTCTTCCTAAGCAGTCAGAAGAGAATTGATTCCACCTAGTGGTTGACAGAATTACAGACGCTCAGAGAGCTTTCATGTTCCTTATCTATTATAAATTGTGTCCCTGACAGGAACAGATATACCATCACCAACACTGCACCTAATACAGAGATTCTGACAGTACAGGGATGGTGAAAACTGTTCTAAACAAACCAAGACCCATAAGAAGTTTCTTGTCTGTCATGGCATTTTAGTGACATACATCTGGTTAAATTGTGAACCCGAGGCTCTTCCCTCAGAAGCTTATTTGCTCAAATGTCTTTTATGTTTTGTACTCTGCCAATAAGAGGCAAAAGTATATGTGTGAGGTAATTGCAGACTCCTGTACTCTGCACTGGATTCTTGCAGATTTTAGTGGTATCTGTTTCTGCTGTCACAAATAGCCATACAAAGTGCAGTTGAGCTATTAACTCCACTGTGGAGAGAACTTTTTATTAAAAAGTGACTTAACAGGGTGGGGAAGTTAACTCAGCTGTCCTAGATACTAGTCTTGTGTCCAACCCACCAAAGTATCTTTTCCCTGATGTCCCAAAATGATACATTAACCCTCTGCATCTCCGTGTTTCTCCCCCTTCTGGCTCTGAACTCTACAAAACCCATGAAAACAAACAATGGACAATTTTGAGAATGGAAAGAATACTTTGGCAACCCACTCCATAACACTGAGATCAACAATGCGGAGTCACTTGAGTCTCTTATATCCACTAGGTGCTCTTGGAAATATATAAAATAAATGGCAACACCTACCTGTAATTTGTGTTGTCATAGAAACAAGCAGTGAAAAATTCAAAGCTACCATGGAAATATTAACAGAGTAATTGGTGCCTGGTTGCAAATCTAAACAAATTTCAGGAGCTTGCTTGTGTGTGGAAAGTTTGAAGGTCATTTCATGAAAGAAGTTCTTCTGATACCAACGGTGTCCTTGCACATGAAACTGTAACCAAACAATCACAGCATGAAAATTGAAATGTTATAATACATTACTTGCATTCAGCCATCTCATGCTCTTAATTAGAAGAAACAGCAGAAGAGAGCACTGCTTGCAATGTGTCAAAACTGTAGGCATTGATAGTTATTCAAATTCCAATCCTTCCAAAAGTTGGTTTGTCTTGATCAGATCTGATATTTTCCTGGTTCTTTCACTTCTCCTCCTAGTCTATCCTCTTTTTTATTAATTTCCCCTAGACCATATTTCCTGCTAACATACAGGCTTCCAGTAACAGTTCACTTTCACTGAAGTATACCCTTCTGACGAATTAGAAAATTAAGCTCATGAAAACACCTCTCCAGCTTCACCTTGAGGATCCAGACAAAATCAAGTATTTTGACCCATGCCAACTACACTCTGGGTTCTATCTACAGACACATATATTTCTGGGGCAATTTACAGGTTCATGGGTTCTGTTTTTTTGTTTCAGTAGGATTTCCTGGTTTATTGTTGATGACTGAAATGATCATGAAATCAGTAACCTAAGGCCTCTCCTGATAAAATGATTTCTCTGTTAATGAATGAAACAAAATGAATGAAATAAAATGAAACAAATATACTTGCTGGATATTAACTGTGCATTAATTTTCCTTTAAATAGATCCTGTGCCTTCAGATAATCTCTTACTGTCTCCTGGCACAGGGAAATTTGAGACAACAGCAGGTGGTCAAGAGTCCTGGCAGAAGTAGTGCATGTAGAAATTCCCCACTGGGATAAAGGGAGACTGAAGAAGAGGCAAAGACAACTGACTCAGTGGAACTGGAATAGAATTGTGTGAGTTGTTTGCCTAAACATGGTAAACTTGAAAGTACAGACAAGGAGAGCAAATTAAGAGTTAAGTATGGGAAAAATAAGCAAGAAACAGGACTACAAGAGAAAGTGGTCTTTCTTTGGCTGCTATGGAAGATTATTCTTTGGGGTTTTATGAGACATTATTATATAAAGGAACACTGCTCACTGAGCATTTGAAAAATTAGGTTTTTGATTGATGAAAATTGCTTTCTAGATTCAAAATATAAATTGTCACTTACTGAGTATCTGTCTTCCACATCAGTTCCCCTGACATTTCTCCTCCATTTCAAGCAGGTATCATTAAAAATTAACACGTTATTGAAAGCCTCCTTTACTGTAGAGACAATTTAAAAAGAGATCAACTTACTTAAAAAACTCTATCTTCTTCAACTTAATTGGAATAGTTGAGAATATTTTTTTTTTTTAAGTTTAAATTTCATTCTCTTCTGAGACAGAGAGGTAGGCTATCATTCCTTTCTGAATGAGCAAACAACATAAGTAAAGCATGACCATCAGCTTTTGGAAAAACCCAAGCATGCTATTCAGGAAATCTAACACATGATTTACTTGTCCAGGCCTAGAAGGTTATAATGACAGAAAGATCAAGGGTTCAGGCCTCCTGATGTAAATAAAATTATCACAGAACAATTTGTCATAGAAGATGCCCTTTAGAAAAAAGCATGTGAATAAAAGCATTTTTGTGGATTCCAAAAGCAATTATTTCACCAGGTTTGTCTCACCAGAATTATTATGTCAGAAGACAAGCCTAAAGTCTCCATGACTAAAATACGACAGAAATCCACTGTTAGAACATGGCTTCTGTACATGTTCTGGTAACTGCCAGAACCCTGTTAATCTCTGGTACACACAGGAGCATTGTCTGTAAGGCTCATACCACTTAGATTAGTATCATATAGCCAAGCCACAGGGAATTCTCCTACAAGCAGAGAATCGTGTTTCAAGGCAAAAACCAGAAACCAGTAGGCACTGTACCATGGACCAAAATTCTGTACCAATCCTGCCTCAGCCAGAAGGCAAGTCCTGAAAAAGTAAATGTGCCAAATCTTTCTGAAGGGCACTTTCTGCCACTGCTGTTCTTGCTCATACAGTCAATGGCCAAATGAGCAGAAAGAAAAACATCTTGCAGAAAAAGAGGATGCTGACAGTGTCTACATGCGTGTAGGCAGCATAAAGAATTATGGAGTCTAGGAAACAGCCCCTTTTCCTGTCTGTTAAGACTCAAATCAGTGAACTCTGCAGCACAGTAAGTTCTTTTATAAGCATATAGAATACAAAACACAACCTACCCTTTGTTTGAATTGCTACTGTAACTGAGACAGTGATGTTTGTAGAAGAAATGGTAGTTATATTCACTATGTAGTTACTTCCAGAGTCCAGATCTAAACACACCTTTGGATTATTTTCATTTGTACTGATGTTAAATATCACATCTTCTGAGAATATCTTCTCATCCAATCTTTGGCCCAGTATATGAAACTATTGAAACAAAGATAATAGTGCAATTTGTTGTGGCTCTTCCAAATTCAAAATACTAGTTTATTTAATCCTATCAGTACTTAAAGGGAACACAGGATTACATCTGGTTCAGAGTATCAGTTCAAGGAAAATATATAGATTTTTGACTAGCTACAGGATGTCTTAATAAACTAGATCTTTAGTTCTTCTGGCTGTTAAAATTATTCATATTATTTCATATATTTCTACAACAGATAGAAGGGATTTATTATGGAATCTAATCCAATTTATTAGGAACCTAATCTAATGTAGACCCTAAAAAGATTTCCAACTTGAATAGTAATGTGTAAGCAAAAATTGTTTCTTGTTTACAGCACACAGATAGAAAACATCTACTTGTTACTTTCTTTCCCTCTTGCTAGGTTTTCCCCCTTGCCCCACAGAAGCAGTAGTAAGACTGAATGCCAAACAACAGTAGATGAGCTTGTCTAAAATTGTCCCAGTGTAGTGGAAAAGCAACCTCTTGCTTGTATGACATGAAAGGACAGACAAAGCTCACCTTCTCTGGCCACTCTGAAGAGTATTTCAGCTGGCAGAATTCAGGAAAAATACGTGAACAGAGCACATTATACCAGAGATCCACAGCTTGCCAGTTACTATTGGCTACATAAAAAACAGTTTTGACCTGTTAGGGGAACTGGAAAGCTGTGGTTTCCATCTCAGCAGTGCTCAATAAAAGTATACAAACAAAAAATACTTTGGTTATAACATAGAATGAGAAAGATGGGTTGTTTTCCAAAATTATTACCCAACCTTGAAATGTTTTCCACATTAATGTACTGACCCTGGACACCCTAAATAATCCCTTTTATTTTTTTCCTTACTTGTACATACTAAAAAAAAAAAAGGAAAAAAAACCAAAAGCAAGTAACACACAAACACACACACACACACACACAAAAAAACCCTTTCTTGGGATGTTATTGTGAAAACATGGGAATTCTTATCATGTTGTTTTGGCCTTCAATAATGCTGACCAAACTTCTGTTTCTGAGAATTTATGTCTTAAATTTTATTCTTATGCTCATGTAAATAAAAAAAAAATTAAAAAAAAAAGAGAGAGAGAAAAGAAAAGAAAATAAAGGTCCTTACAAAGGTTGTTTTCAATTTATATTTTCAGATATAACCGGGACGAAGTTACTCCCAATCTCAAATACTTCCATTATTACTTACTGTGTATGTTTCCTGCACTCCCAGTCTACCAGTTTTCCTTTGCCACTTCACACATGTTTCATTGAATATGGATAAATTACTAAATAATTCCTCCTCTGTGACCAAAAACACAAAAAGAAAATCATTACTTCTCATGCATATCTTATGTTTGGAGCAATTGCTTATTTCTTACTTTTGCTGTGGTTTGGTCTTCAGGGTTTTTTTGCTTTGCTTTTTTGTCTAAACAGGAAAAAACCAAAGAAGGCATGCACATGTTAGGTAGAAGGCTTTCTCTTAACTTTGCTGGCTCCTAAAAATGTAAAATAACAGGTTAACAAAAGAAGCATGTTCTGAGCTAAAGACTCTTTAAACAGAAACTCTGCAGACCTCTTTAAACATATAGCCAAGATTACATAAACTGACACAAGGAACTTTTAAGAAAGCTTCTGTGTTAGACTGGAATAGAGTTTATTTATAGCTGAATAAAAGTTTTGGTTCATTATTGACACGAGTTGCTTTTTAAAAGGTGTTGGTGTTTTTTTGTTATTGTTGCAGAATAAATAAAATCAAATAACACAGCAGAACATTTTTCAAAACAAACAGTAGATTAAAACAATGGAGCCCACAGAACCAAGTGTGTAGGAAGTACAGCTCTAGCAACCAGAGATACGTCCCTCAACACACATCTGTTAATTTATACACTTAGAAGAGCAGGCTTTCTCAGAGACAAAGCGCAGCTAAGAAGGTCAGCTCACCCATGCTTTTTTCACCAGCTCTCTTACTGCTGTCATTAGACACAGTGCAGTTGCTCTTGCCTGACGAGATAACATGCTCACATAGCTCAGAACACAACTCCTTCTGGTCACAAGTCAGATCAACAGTGAACATACCTACTCGTTCCCTCACCGGCCTTCAAATTGTCATTCCTTTGTCCTACTACCATATTTTATTATTAAATTCACTAAATGACCAAAGTCATACAGACCCAACCTGATATAGAATCTAAGCTGAAAAACACTTATTAGCTGCTGAAAAATTGAAAGGTATTTATAGGATAGCATTGGTAGATACTTCAGGGAATATTCACAAAATAAGTAGTGTATTGTTCTGATGTTAAAGCAAGCACAGGTCAGGGCACTCTTCCTCTGTACATAAACTATATTACCATCTCACAAGGGCCCCTTTGTAGCATGTGGGCATCAAGCTGGCACTATAATAAATCAGTAAATATACTGATTCTAGCACTTCTAGCATTTCATACTTACACAGCTATTTAAAACTACAATGTAACTGTTAATCTATTTTGCAGCACTTTTTCTTTTTCTTTTTTTGATTAGTAGAACTGCCATAAAACTGTTTTCTAACATTATCTCCCTCTCCATATATTCAACAAATACATGCCTCACTCACTAGACCAGTCCATCTTGCAACTGATCTTAACTCCTCCATTCCACATTCATTGTATATAGAAAAGCTGTTGAAAGCTTCTATGTTTCCAGGACAGATGAACGAGATTAATCTGTTGTCCTCTAAAACAAATTTCTTACAAATAGCTGAGTGAGTAACTGTATTTAAGGGCTGCCTATTGTTATTGTTACCTGCTTCGCAGTACTGCCCCAAACTCTGCAGTTTTCTGTACCACTACAAACCAAAAGATCATGTTCAGTTCTTGTGTTCTTTAAATCAAACAAAGTTTTATTAAAAGACTGGATGGCAAGAAGGACATACAGACAAAGGGAAAATATTTCCATAGACGTGAGATCTGAATTAAAATGCATAACAAGGAGGCAGGGGGGACAAGAGAGGGAGTAATCTGCAAGACTTCTTAGCAAGAAAATCTGCAACTTGACTTACGAGTTTATATAATACAGCTAAAAAAAAAAGGGAAAACAAAGCAGCAAACAACAAAAGGCAAGGAAAGAAATCTCTACAGTGACCTTCTTGGAAGGAAGAAGTCAGAACTAGTAGCATTCTTTTTTTCTGTAAATACATCCATGTTTTTTATGCTTTCTGAACTTTGAGGATAGGGCCACCGGACAATGACCATAAATTCACAGAATAGCTGGCAGATCTTTTCTCAAAAGTTTCCACTTTAAATGGATGTGAGTGAAAGAGCATGAAAACCTGTACAGAGCAATTACCACAACAAAGTCTTCAGCTTTCTGAGGAGTCTGCTTTTTCTCCTTTACTCTTACTGATCACACAATCTTTGTTTGGACAACCAAATATACAGAAAGGGCTTGGTTTAACATTAATCCCAGTAACATAAACAGAGTATCCAATAACAGCACAAAGATTTCTCTGAAAAAAAAAACAAAAACATTCTGCAACTAGAGGGAGACAGGTTCCTTGAAACATTCATTCTACTGTGAAATCTAACAGTGCCAGTGACTTACGGAGCTTGGGAACTCGGTTTTTGAAACACACAGTAGCAGATGCTAGCATCCAGGTCTTAAATATATCTGATTTTGATCAACAGCTTATACTTAAACTCAAAAATAAGATGGGAGAAGCAAAGACCAGACCCTGCATTTGCCTATATCTCAGTACTATAAATTTTAACTTGTGCTAAACCAAGGTGAGTGAAGTTCACTGCTACCCCACTAATCTCTGGGTTACCTTCACAATTTTTTCCCATCCCAAAAGACAGTGTCCTAGAAACAACATGCAAAAAAAAGCAAAGTGTTTCAACAGCACCAGTGAGTGTTGGAGGGGGAGAAATTTTGTCAAGAAATTCAAAGATACCAACTTTTTTACCAGAAAGCAGAGACAATCAGCTCCACTCTTATATTTATCTTCAGCAAGTAGCTAAAAGAGAATTCACACATGCAGCTTCATTTACGGAGTTTTTGCTACCTATCCCCACTCATACAAGCAATTTAGTGGAAAGAAAAAACCCAGGTATAAAATTTCTTTGTATATTTTTGCCTGCTCAATTCTGTAAGTGGTGAACAATGTTGCAAATGCCATCTGCTACTGATCAAAGCACATTTTTGCAATTAAATAAATGAAAATATCTCAAAGAGGTCAAGAGGATGGTGCCAGAATCTTTTGACTGGTGCCCAGAGACAGAATGTGGAGTGATGGCCATAAACTAAACCACAGGAAGTTGCACCTGAACATGAGGAAGAACTTCTTTACACTGAGAGTGGCAGAGTATTGGAAGAGGCTGCTCAGGGAAGTATGAAGACATTCCAAACCCACTTGGACATGTTCCCATGTCACCTGCTCTAGGTGACCCTGCCTTGGCAGGGAGATTGGACTAGATGATATCCAGAGGTCTTTCCAACACTAACTCTTACAAGATTCTTGGAAACCAATCACTTCTACTCCACAGGGAAAGAAGTTCTGTGAGGAGCAGCTCCACAAGATGTCCAGGTTCACACACTGAGCAGACTAGACAACAGGTATTTTAATTGTTGGTCTGTTCTCTGCACATCAATCACCTCATTTTATGTGCATAAATCAGAGGTTGGTAAAAACTGTAATCGAGCTTACTCCTGCCTCATCTTACTGACAGTGTAATCCAATCAGCATGACAAGTAAAATTAATTTTGTAAAGATATTTTTCAGTATTTAAACTAGCTACTTAGAAAAGTACTTGTATACACACACATACATATATATTTACCATGTATCTAAACAATATACCAAACAATGCAAATAAAAAGCATCCATAGCAATCACTTCTTAAGAAATGAAGAAAATTAATTGTCAAAGAGAATTTCCTGCAGATGTTCTCTTAAATCCCTTATTTCTAATGGAATTTTTCAGGCAGGATGAAAAGTCAATTGGTTTTCCAATGCCTATCATGAATTATTTTGGAATGGTACATAATTTTCTCTCATTTTAATGGTGGTACTGTTACATGCCATTAAGAGCATGTAAGTTTCAAAGGCATCCCTGCACAAACAGAAATTTCATTTAATTTTTAAGCAATTTGTTAACTCCACTGAATATGAAAAATGTAGAAGTCAAGAAGATGCAAGATTTTGTAACAATTTCCTGCTGATTAATTTTTTTTTAAGAAGTCTGGACTTCTTTAAGCCTAACTTAAATAGTTAACTAAAGTTAACTAAATAACTAAATAACTAAATAACTAAATAACTAAAGTTAGGCTATTTTTGTAACCCTTCCTTACCATTCTACTTCACAATAACTGACTTTTTTGACCCCCTGATCCAACAGCCAGGGCTGGAATGTGGCAAAGCTCTTGCTGAAATCCATGGTAATCCTATGAGTGCAGCCTGCAGGTTTGGGCCCTTCAAAGCTTCAGAGTGTTCAAAACAACTCTTGGCACTTCAAAGACTGACACACCTGACTAACTTAGTTACTTTACACCACGTTCACTTCAAAATCAATTCACAAAATACAGTCATGTAAGTTTCCTGAATGAAATATGAATCATGGCTTCTAACAACAGCGGTTCCATTTTCATTTGCACAATTTAACAGCTGAGAGGATTGCTTTTCTGCATATTCATTTTACTTGATGTCACATGTTTTACATTCACCATAGATACACAAGAGGTCAAGTGAGAGAAGAGAGGCCTCATGCAGTAACTCTGTATGAAGTGAAGTGGCAGCAGTCAAGGACACATTTCTAGTCATTTTGAAAACCGTGAAGATGTTTCAAAGCTAAATGAACACTATCTTCTGCAAAAGACAGCATTCTACTTAAGAACTAGATACAGAAAGTAGTAGACAACTCCTTTTTTAGGACACAGAAGAATATCAATGAGCACAACAAGAGCAGTCCAAAACATCTGCTTGTTGTTGCTGTTAATAAAATGTCAATACATCCTGCTTCCAAGCACACAGTATGACAGCACCTTTAATAAACATCTTCCTTCTTGGAACTCATTCTTTAATAAGAAAATTATTCTGGAATGAAATTCAGACAACTAGATGTAGGCTGGAAAGGCAACCATGAACAAATTTTACTTTGGTCATTACAAGAAAAGAATAAAAAACAAAACAAACAACAAGAGAGAGAGAGGTAAAGGACTTCAAATTAAATTTCCACTACTTTCACTGGATTGCATTTTACAGTATTATAGTCACAAGAAAATATTGTTAAATGCCTTCTTCCCCTCTGGTGACACTTCATGGGCTTCTAAAGCTGAAGGCCCTCAGTGAAGCAATAAAACTCCAGTTGCATTAGTCTCTTTCTACTTGAGATAAAAAGCAAGACAACTATAGAAAGATCTGTGGCATCCAGTAGAAGCTGCTGTATTGTTAACACTCTTTTCTGTGACCTTTCCATCCAAAAGTACCACCACATTCCCTAGATCATAAATTGGAAGAGGATTTCTTGCCTTCATTCTTCTTTCTGCTCCTAATTTCAGAATAGGAATGACAAACTAATTAAATTGCAACTTAAACAGCAACTTTGTGTGGTAATATTTACCTTTGCATACGTATGTAATATTCTCCCATGACTGATCTATTGTGCATTCTGAAAAATTCCTGTCTCCACTGAAGTAATATCCTTCTTTACAGTGGTAGTACACTCTGCTCCACAGAGTGGTAGAGTTGTCCCAGGTCATTGTCGTGTGTGGAATCAGCAAAGGTTTGCCACAGTCTATTTCTAGAACAGAGAAAAACAGGAAAACAAAACCTTTTAATGAAAACAGGCAAGATGTATCAAAGTGCTAAAGATGGAAATATGAAATGTCCTAGCAAGTCACATTTTGCTTTTTTCCACTTCTTAGAGATTTCTAAAAGTCAGGCCAGTTCATTAGAACCCAGAATTTTGTGGCTGAAGACTTTCTAGCAGGGTGGGGCATTTATCCTACAAGATGACTGATAAAATAAAAGAAAGTGTCCTGATTAAAAATGGAGAGCAAGGATCTTTAAGCTTAAGGATCTTCTTTTTATGAAAAGTCTATGTTCACACAACACTCTCTTACCCTCCACATGCTATTTATTCCTTTGTTTTGCATACCATTAGTAACAGTAAATATTATAAAAGAAACATGGTCCACGGAGTGTCATTAAAGAGCAGCATCAAGAAGGTTATATTCCTCTGTCAGTGGATTTAATTCAAGTTTTGAAAAAAGATGCTGCTACAGACAAGATGAAGGAGCAATTATGAGGGAAAATTTGATAGATTATGCAAACCACTTCACAGATAATTAGAAAGCTAGGATAATTAACTAACCATCAGGTAACCATGAACACAATCATTCATTTGCTCAGGTTTTGGGGGTTGAATAATAAAAACAGGGGAAAAAAAGAATAAAACATGAAGATCAAATAGATGGAACAGCATTATTTAGGGTAAAATCTGCTTTTCAATTTACAATGAATGTTATACTTCCATAAAAGATTCTACACCACTTCAGTTATAAGAAGCAAACACTGTAAGAATTAAAATGATACCCTCATTAAAGCTTATATGGAGCAAACAAGTTCTTTTAAAACCATTCAATAATTTTAAGTTATTCTGAAATTGTATTTCAAAAAAATGAAAGCAAAGAAGTAAAAACCAAGTTTATAGAATCATCATCTGTACAACCTTTAAAGTAAAATTTAAACATATGTATTTCAATGGATGTGACCCACCATCATGACTGCCTTCCTTTTCATACACCAAAGAGTATGAATGTATGTATTATAAGTCATCAAAATGAGCCTTAAATAACTAATGCACATATAATCATGTGCTTAACTGGAGAGGAGAGGAGAGGAGAGGAGAGGAGAGGAGAGGAGAGGAGA